TCTGGAGTGGGGGCCCGGGTCCCCTCTGTCAACCTAGTGGGAGTTCGGAGGGTTTGGGGTGGGGTCCCTGGATCCTCGCTGCTATTCGGGGAGCTGGTCTGGACGCGGGCGGTCGCTTTCCGGGGCATCGGGTTCTGGCTGCGCCTCGGCGCGGGCGCGAAGGAGTTAAACAAGGTGCCGGCGACGGGCGCGGCGGGCGTGGAGGAGGGGAGCGAGGAGAAAGTGAGAGCGGGGGCGGGGGACGTGAGCGAAAGAACATCCTGTGCCCGCTGCCGGATGCTCGGGGCGGGGGAGGCCCGGGAGCCGCGCTCCGCCCTGCGCGCTCCTCCTCCAGGCTGCTGCCAGCTCCCGGCTGCGCCCGGCATCTCCGGGTCCCCACGCCTTTGCGGGGGGTGATGAGCCAGCCTGGGGTGGGGGGCCCGGCGCTGGGGTTCCAGGCTCAGGGAAGCGCTGGGAATGTGGGATCGGCTGCTGGATTCACCACTGGATTTTCTGGCAGGAGGCGGTGCGTACTGTTCACCCCCTGGTCAGGCACGGAGGCAGCACGTCCAGGGGCTATGCAGGTATCTTGGAAGTGGAAACAGGCTCCGGTTGTGGAATCTGTCAAACGCCGCATTGCTGGTATTTGAACCCAGGTCGATCGTACTACAAAGGGCTTTTTACTGGAGTGTCTGAAAAGACCCAGCCATCCCTTAGCTTATAAATTGCACATGGGCTAGCTAGGCCTCTGAAGTGGCTTAGGGGGGCTGGTGAGATGGCTCAGGGAGTAAAGGTGCCTGCCTTAAACCACGAAAACCTGAAATCGACCCCCGGGTCCCACTTGGTGGAAGGAGAGGCCCACTGACTCTCAGAAGTTGTCCTCTGACCTCCACGTGTGCACCTTGACATACGAGCCCCGCCCCCCCCGCCCCGCCTCCATAAATAAATAAGCGTAGTAAGAAATAAGTGACTTAGGGGATATTTCATACCAAGACTGCCCTTCCCTACTTTCCTCAGCATAGGCTAGCCTCAGTCTCCCCTGTGTAATGGAGGATGACTTTGAACTTCTGATCCTCCCAGTGCTTACAACTGGGATGACAGAGTGGACCACTGCTCCCAGTTTATAGCAGGTACCCAATAAGACCTGGCCGCTCTAAAGAGACTGAAACACATCAACCGCCCACATGGTTGAGTGGGCCTTAAGAACTGAACAGTCCAGAAGGGTGGGCTCAGGGAACGTGCCCCTGGTTTAGCGATTTGTGGGGATTTCAGAGAGGCCTCAAAACCAGAGTGTAGTTAGATTTGCCACCAGGATTCCCACTGCCTGGCCAAGCTCACCATTTTGCCCAGTGAAAGCTTGTGATAATAACCTGAGTCAGCATTTGTTAAGCTCTGTGCTGTTTAATCCACAAGCTCAAGCCTCACAGACAACTCCATGCAGTGGGTCTTAAATCCCTTTCCACATCTGGAGGAACAGGCAACATCACCGAGTGGCTGAACTGGTTTTGAGTTGCGTGATCGGTGTCCATGCTCCCATCAACTAAGATAACCAGCACTTAACACCTTGAGAATATCAGCCCTGGAGTTAGAGGCTGAGGATGTGGCTCAATTGGTGAGTTACAGAAGGCCGGGAGTTCAATCCCAGTCTCCACATAAACTAGACATGGTGCTACATTCCTGTAATCTCAGCCCTCAGGAAGTAGAGGTAGGAGAATAGAAAGTTCAAGGTCATCGTCCATTACTTAGCAGAGTTGCAGGCCAGCCTAAGTAACATGAAACCCTGTCTCAAAAGCTGACAGGGATCGCCCTGAGGCACCAGCTAGCACAGTCCTTTTTTTTTTTTTTTTTTCCGGTGAGGGCAAGTAAGGAACCCAAGGCCAGCTCTGTGTGTGTATTGGCTCTCAGACTTCTGGCCAATTGTGTCACATTTCTGAATTTGACAGAAACACAAAACAAGAAAATAAACAAAAGCCAAGTTTCCAGAAAGAGTTGTGGGTTTTTCCCCCCCACTATCTAGACCAGGCTAGCCTCTGTCTCCCAAGGATTAAAGGAGGACACCACCACACCCTGCCCAAGAGTTGCAGCTTTGAAGGTATACCTTAACATTGAAAATGGGACCAAGAGATGGCTCAGTGGTTAAGAGCACTAATTGCTGTTGCAGAGGACCCAGGTTCAGTTCCCAGCACCCACATGGCAGCTAATAACTGTAAGTCCAGTTCCAGGAGAATCTGACCCCCTCATCTGACCTCCATGGGCATCGCACAGCACAGGTGCACTTACACACATGCAGGCAATACAATCATACACATAAAATTTAAATAATAAAATATTTTTAAAAAGAACATTGAAAACACACCTGCTATCTAGTGTCTCCATTTTTGGAGAAAAAAAAAGTTTTAATTCTGCTCAAAATAGGAAACCATCATCTGAGTCAAAAAGTCATTCTTGCTTGACCCAGTGGCCTGATCTGTAGTTTCAACTGCTCATGAGGCTGAGGTTGCTTAAGCCCAATGCAGGCAACACATCTGAACACCCTAACAAAACACAACAGGTTCTGAGGATACAGCTCAGTGGCAAAGCCCTTGTCCAGCATACACAAAATTTGACCTCTAGCACCATAGGAAAAAAACAGCAAATAATCCCCAGTCATTCCCAAGAAAGCATTGCTCACTACCCTGACAGGTGTAAAGTCATTGTGCTGTGGGCCAATGAAAATGTCACCCCAGACTTGATCACCTTGGCTGACTGGCTCATTCAAAAGCAGAGCCAGGAACCATGGGCTCCAGGAATAACAGGAGGGATTACATCATAGCCTAAAAGAAACTTCTTTGAAGTCCTTAAAGAATATATGAGGGCTGGGGAGACAGCTCAGTGGTTAAGCGCACTGGCTACTCTTGCAGAGGACTTGGGTTCAGTTCTCAGCATCCACGTGGCTGACCATCCATAACTCCAGTTCCAGGGGCTCTCATGCCCTCTTCTGATCTCCATGGGCATTGCACTTACATACATGCAGGCAAAACACACATAAAAAATAAATTAGATAAATTTGCTCAATGTGGTGGCGCATGCCTTTAAGCCCAGTACTCAGGAGGCAGAGGCAGACAGATCTGTGAGATTGAGGCCAGCCTGATCTATATAGAGAGTTCAAGGCCAGCTGGGGTTACAGGAAGACCCTGTCTTCAAACAAACACCAAAAAGAAAAGAAAGGCAGGGACTTTGTTCTAAGGAATCTAGTCTCAGATATACCAAAGTGGCCTTTGATCCTAAAATGACAGTCCCCATCAGGCAACTATTTTCTGGTTCCTAGTTCATGGGAGGTGATGGGTGGGAGTCTCCTTGGAACTCTGCTTACCCCTGTACTGCTTGTTGGAAGGAACCTGTGTGGTCACCCTGCTTCAGGGTCAGGAAGAGTCCCAAGAATAGTCCTTGGGGGCTAGAGATGGAAGAGCGAACAGGAGAGTCTCCCCCTCTCCCTGCTTCCTGGGTGTGATGGACCAAGGTTGTGCGTGGATGGGCCTTACGGGCTGCAGCATCTTTAGAGGTGCTGTTTCTCTTTTTACCCCTGCCCAGGTGCAGTCCCAGAGCCTTCTATCCCAGCTCTCCCCAGCTCAGGGCTGGACAGGTGAAGCCCTGTTCAGGTACAGCCACACTCAGGACTGGCTCTGTGCCTCTCAACTCCCTAGCCTGCACCAATAGGTGTGGGGAGACCCTCAGGAGGAGAGGCGACTGCTCTAGACACCCACTTCATCCTCGTGGTAGAGATCAAAGCCTCCAGCGATGGCTTTCATCCCACTGTGGGGAGGGTGGGCAGTGGTACTCTCAGAAATAAGGGCCTCATGGCTGAAAGGCATAGACCTAGCCCACCCCCAGTTTTTTGTTTTGAGACAGGATAGACCAGGCTGGCCTTGATCTCACAGAGCTCTGCCTGCCTCTGCCCTCCAAGTGCTGGGATTAAAGGCCTGCGCCACCATGCTCAGCTCACACTTATTTTAACTAAAAAAATGATTTAATGTGTATGAATGTTTTGCCTGCATGTCTATGAGTGCCCTCTTGTTGCACCATGCCCATAAGAGTCCAGAAGAGAGGGTGTTGGATCTCCTGGAACCACCTTATGGGCAGTTGTTAACCACCATGTGGGTGCTGGGACCCAAACCTGAATCCTCTGGAAGAGTAGCCAGTGCTGTTAACCACTGAGCCATCTCTCTAGCTCCCACTACCCCATTTTAACCCTGGAGTTCAAAATGGCAAATCTATACCTCCCCCCAGCCTGCAAATTCAACAGACACAGGCAAGGTCCCTCCTTTCCAGGATCACCCTGGTTAGGTGGGCCCAGAGCCCCATTTTCCAAACTGTTGTGGTTTTGTCCCTCAGTCCTCAAGCCAGCACTTACTAAGTGCAGGCCTCTGTGCTGAATGCTAGACAAAGTCAAGGAGGCGGGGAGGGAGACTCCAGGGAAGTCAGAACACCGTGGGTGCCACCAGACTGCACAACTTCATAAGGTGCCCTTCCTCTCACTTTCATCTTCCGATGGGGTGAGGGAGCCCTGCTTGAAGAAACACCCCACAGCCCAGGGGCTAGATCCAAGGTGGAAATCAACGGATTGAGGGCCAGAGGCATACCCCAAATGCCCCTCCCAGAAATCCTGTAGGTCCTAGTCCAGAAGTGAGTCTCTGCTGCCCTCTAATGGAACAAAGGGCAGTTGAAGGAGCCACCGTGCCAGGCCCCTCCAACTTCAAGGAAATAGGAACCAGGTGGGGTTTGTGAATAAGATCAAAATACATGATAGACAGGTGTGAAGATACTGCGGAGCTAGGCTGAGAAATGGCTCAGTGGTTAAGAACGCTTGTTGTTCTTGAAGAAGACCCGGGTTCGAATTCCAGCACCCACATGGCAGCTAACAACTGTCTATAACTCCAGTTCCAGGGGATCCAACAGCCTCTTCTGACCTCCACAGGCATTGCACGACATGGGTACACTTACCTACATGTGGGCAATACACACATACACATAAAATAAAAATTTAAAAAGCCCCAAAATAAATAATGAAAAATATAAAAATTTGCAGCAGTGAGTCTGAAGTTTGCCCATGCCAGGCAAGCACTACCACAGAACCCAGCCCAGCCCACTCTATGGTCTTCTATGCCTAAATTCTCCTCACTGCAGCCACTGAGACTGAATCTTCTCCTTTGAAGCCCTCCTGGTTTCCCCCGGTGTCATTTCCCCCAGTCTCCTTTGTTGCCTGAGTTCCAATTCTGGCACCCTGGTTCCTGGCCCTGTCAGAGTTCTGGTTCTGGAATGTTTTTCCCAGGTGCCTTGGGCCTAGCTCCCACCTGGGCACAAGGCAGCACTGAAGATATGGGCAAGACCATTCCCCGGTGCCTGGAGCAACTGGACATCTGCAAAAGCATAGTGGGCTTGGCTACAGGCGCCGGGGCCATCTACCTGCTGTACAAGGCCATCAGGGCCAGCATAAAATGTCAACCGCCCCTCTGCTCTAACTCGCCCATCTGCATAGCCCGTGAGTTTCCAGTCCCTGGGGAGAGGGCTCTGCCCCACAAGGACGCCCTTGAGGGAGAGCCCAAAGGTGACTCTCTCCTTCCTTCTCTCTCTAGTAGGCCTTGGATCCCCTTACCCCAGCACCTGAGGCAAAGCCCAGTCAAAGAAGCTAGTTAGGGGATCTGTGGGTAGTAGAGCTCATGGATGTGGATTCCAGGAATCACCCTAGTTGTCTGGCTCCCCAGGTTCCACTTCTTTGCAACTTACCAATCAATGGTTCTCTCCACTCCTCTCTTGTCCAGCAAATGGAGACTTTAAAGAATCACCCTAGTTGTCTGGCTCCCCAGGTTCCACTTCTTTGCAACTTACCATCAATGGTTCTCTCCACTCCTCTCTTGTCCAGCAAATGGAGACTTTAAGGGAAGGAAAGATTGGAGGACCTTCTTGCCCTAAGCTGCCCACTAGTATGTAGGGTTCCTCTTGTGGGACTGTTCATTGCCACCTGCTGGGGACTTCGGGCTTTATACTCATTAGAACAAAACCCTGCCTCTTAACTGCCACGTGCCATTAGGAGATTGCCAGGACAGCACCAGATACAGTGTCCTTGTGCAGTGCTTACTCTGTGCAAGTGAACGTGAAGCAGAGAAAAGGCAAGGCAGCTTGGTCCCCTGCTCCGTCCCCCACCCCACCCACCCCACTTCCCAATCCTTTGCTTTCATCACTTCTAAGTCCACCGCCTGAACTGTGGGCTGGTGTGGCTGTCTAGGCCTGGCCATCGAGAGAGAGCGCCATGGGCGGGACTCGGGTGAGATTCGGAGACTCCTCAACTCCCTGGAGTGCAAGCAGGATGAGTATGCTAAGAGCATGGTCCTGCACAGCATCACCCGCTGCGTGTACTTGCTGGAGGCTGAGGTGAGGAAAGGAGTGAGGTCCCTCCCAGCCTGGCCCCTGGCTTAAGACTGCATTCCCAGCCCTCGATTGTCCCTCCGCCTGGTGGCAGCAGGGTGGGGGGTAGGGATGGGGGGTGTCTCTGAGACCGAGGGGACAGTGGGCCCAGGACACCCGCTTTTTCTGCCTCTCCCATTTCTTACCACATACTCTAGGCCTCTGCATGTACCACTGATGACATTGGCTTGGTAGCTGAAATGTTGGGTGACAATGACAGCAGTGTCAAAATCCAAGCTCTGAATGCACTTAAAGCTTTCTCTGGCATCAGGAAATTCAGGCTCAAAATCCAGGTGAGCCCTGGGGGCAGGGGGAGCAGAGACCCAAAGATGTCCCCAGTGTTTGGGTCCTTTTATTTACATGGGTGACTGTTCCTATTCTTTTGAGAAGTTTTTTTTTGTGCCTGAGTTTGTAACCTAGAAATGAGTGGGGAGATAGTGGTCAGCTTTCCTACAGGCCATGTTAGCCTCTCTGGATCAGGATGAAATTGAGCTAGGATGCTAGCAGCTTCTCTGAACCCCAAAGAGCAGAAAGTCCCCCCCACATTCTTAGACACTAGCCAGTTCTCCAACACCAGCAGGGCAGCCCACAATTCAGTCCCAACATGTGCTGGGCATGGTGATGCATGCCTTTAATCCCAGCACTCAAGAAGCAGGCAGATCTCTGTGAGATTAAGGCCAGCCTGGTCTACATAGCGAGTTCCAACCAAGGCTACAGGGAGACCCTGTCTAACCCTTCTTCCCTCCAAAAAACTAAAGCAAGCAAAACAATAACAAAGAAATCCAATCCCAACACAGACCCCAGAAGTTAAGGGTTCAGTCTCGGAAGACCCGCTCATTTCAATGCCAGGTGGTAAGTCTGACTTCTGACTGACTGGTTATGAAGTGGGGGGTTTCCACAACCCCCTGCTTAGGGTTGATAACTTAGGCTAAAATTACATAGAAGCCTGGAGGGCACTCATTGACCAGTTCATTATAAAGGGTACAATCTGGAACAGCTGAATGGAAGAGGTAGAAATAGGCAAGGTTGGAGGAAGAGCGGGAAGTTTACAAATCACACTGGTTAGGAGTTTCTCTCTGCCAGTCTAGCACTTAGGAATAATTGAGTAAGTCAATAGCCATTGGCGGTTGAACCTGGTCTCCTTCCCCTCTCTGGACCTAGGAGAGTAGGACTGAAACTTTCTACTCTTTAATCATGGTTTTGTCTTTTTGGTGACCCAAGCCCTGTCTTGATGAACCTAACAGGTCATCAAGATGATGGTAGTGATGACATGCTCTCATGTCAAAAAAAACAAACCCAGCTAGGGCTGGGGCTCAATTGCTAGAGTGCCTGCCAAGCCTGCATGAGTTCTTGGTTCAGTCACCAGCACTGCAGAAGCCAGGTAGAGTGCCCCACACTGGTTTATCCCGGCATTAGGAAGATAGAGGCAGGAGGATCAGGGGTCAAGGCCATCCTTGGTTATATAGTGAGTCTGAGGTCAGCCTGGAAGCCACAGTGGAAGGAGAGAACTGACTCCTGAAAGTTGTCCTCTGACCTCCAGAAGGGCACCATGGACCACACATTCTCCTCCCACCAGTCATACACACATACGATAATAATAAATTTAAATATATATATATGCTAAGTATTTTAAACATACGCATCTTTAAATGTGTAAAGTAGAAAGAATAACAATAAAAACAGAACTTAGGGACTGGTAAGATGATTCAACAGAGCAGGTAAGGACACTTTCCTCCAAGCCTGAGAGTAAGTTCAATCCCCAGAGCCCACATGGTAGAGACTAGGACGGACTCCAGCAGGTTGGTCCTCCACATGTCCATACATGTGCACACATGTGTGCGCACATACACAGCAAATATATATATATATGTATATATACTCCCACATGGCATGGCCAGGCCAGGCTGAGAAATAGAGCTGATCACAGTGATCCCTGTGTCCCATCCACATCCCCTCCAGAAGAATTTTTGGCCTCACATTTAGTTAATTCTGTGATTTTCTTTGTAGTTCTACATAGGCACAAATACTCTTACATGTTTACACATTTTATTTAGTAGGGCAAGGCAGACAAGTAAAAATGTGGATGTGGTCTGGGATGTTTCTTTGTTTTGTTGAGACAGAGTCTCTCTGTAGCTCCAGCTGGCCTGGAACTTGCTATGTAGCCCAGGCTGGCCTCAGTCTCAGAGATCCACCTGCCTCAGCTTACTTGGGATGTTTTTAAGCCACCTATGCACGGAAGTATGGTGTATTATTTAGTCACTTTCCCTTCACTGTGACCACGACACCTGTCAGAAACACCTTAAGAGAGGAAAGACTTATTTTTGTTCACAGTTTCTGAGGGTTTTGGGCCATCATGTTGAGGAAGATTGCAAGAGGCGCTCAGCTCATGGTGATAGATTGGTAGCAAGGAAACACAGAAATATCAGGAAGCAGGGAAAGAGACAGGAAGGAGAGGCAGGGGGAAACCTTTAAAACCCTGCCTCCAATGTCTGTTGTACTTCTGTCAACTCAACCCTGCCTCCTAAAAGTTCTAGACCTTTCCAAAATAGCCCCAAGAACTGAGGAACAAGGGTTGAAAACTTAGCCTATGGAGGATATTTCATATATATATATATATATAATTTTTTTATGTGTGTGCATGAGTGTCTGTCTGTGTTGGGGTATGTGCACAGGAGTGCACTTGCCTGTGAAGGCCAGAAGAGGGCAGCAGATCCTTGGAGCTGGAGTTATATGGAGTTTATAAGCCACCTGTTGCAATTTGGTTGGTGCTAAGAACCAAACTCTGATCCTCTATAAGAGCAGTATGCTTTCTTAACTGCTGAGCAGTCTCTCCAGTCCTGACTTTATATTCCAAACTGTAAAATCCTTCCCTTCCCCCCTTAGTCTATCTCCTAAAGTCCCCACAGTTTCAACACTGTTCATGAGTTCATAATCTCCTTAGAGACTCAATACAGTCTCTTAATTGTGAACACTTATAAGATAAAAAAGAAAGTTATATACTTTGCAATATGCAATCTCAGAGTAGTCATTCCCACTGCAAAAGGGAGGAAGGCCAAAGTCAGACCAACATCCAACAGGGGTAGACATTAAATCCTGTAGTTTCATGTCCAATATCTGGAACAGTGATGGAATGTGAGTGTCAACAGGCTATTCCTGTAGGGAGTCCAACTCTGCTAAACATTGCCTGGTCTCATGAGCTTTTCTCTGGAATATTGGTGGAAGTCCCTGTGACCCTAAAATTCTTGTACTATGAATGCCTGCAAAGCCAGCACCACATTTATGATGCCAAGTTCTGCTGTCAGCTTGAACAGTATCTAGGTCCCTTTGTGCCCTAACCCAGGGCCTTTGAGTTGCCTGGGTAACTGAATGCTTTCCTAGGCTACCCTTTGAGAACAGAGCACCCCAGTGACACTCTCTTTCCAATGGAAAGTCTTTCCAATTAATTTGTAGTTTCACACCATGGAGCCTTGTTAGATGGGTGGGAACTCACCTGACATCCTGAAAGCACTTGCCTTATAGTGCTAATTTCTTTCACAATTAAGGCCTTGTTCCCTGCAACTTTAAATGTGCTCTTTTTCTGGGAAAATTCTTTCTTTTTGTTTCCATTCCTCACTGAACCTCGCTAAAAGCAGCTGGCAATAACCATTCCACACCCTGAATGCTGTGCTCCACCTGGGCAGTGAGATGGCTTAGTGGGTAAAGACATTGACTGCCATGCCTAACAGCCTGAGTTTGATCCTTGGGACCCACATAGTAGGTGAGAATTGACTCCTACATGTTGTCCTCTGACCTCCACACATGCTCCAGGCTGCTCATGCACTCCCACAAAGCAAATAAATATACATAATGAAAAATAGCTTCACCTGGGACTGGGGAGATAACTCAGCAATTAAGAGCACTGACTGCTCTTGCAGAGGACCTGGGTTCGAGTTCCAGCACCCACATGGTGGATAACAGCTCTCTGTAACTCCAGTACCACGGGAATCCAATGCCCTCTTTTGACCTCTATGAGCATTGTATGACATGGGTGCATTTACACACATGCAGGCAATACACTCACACAAAAATAAGAATAATAAAGATATTTGTAATTGCTTCACCAAATTAATTAGCCAATTGCTTTGAATTCAACCTCATTTAAAATTTCAGGACACTGGCAAAATGTAGACAGATTCTTTACCAAACACGAATGCCCTGTGATCCAAGTCCCAACAGAACTGCTGTCTCTCCCAGTGCCTCCTGATCACAGTTTACTGTCTGCATGCCTACTAGCATTTTGGCCTTCTAAATCCTCACTAGAATTGCCTATTAAGCTTTAGTTAAGGCGTTCTAGGGATTCTGTGGTCTGCATCTCCAAACCTTCTCCAAATTCCTCCTGTAAACAAGTTCCAAAGGCCTAAGAACCTTGGGATCATGCTAAATTATAGCAACAACCCCAATCTTGGTACCAATTTTCTGTGTTAGTTATTTGCAGCGCTATGCCCTCAACATCTGACAGAAACTTAACGGAGGAAATATTTATTTTGGTTCATCTTTTCAAAGGGTTTCAATTCTATCATAGTGGGGCAGGCATGGTATGAGTGAGCTGAGTTCTACAAGGGAGCTGTGCTTGTTGCAAAAAGAAGAAAATCTTTTGTCACCTTGGTGGAAGAGTTCATGCCATCAAAAGCATGCTCTTAAAAGAAAATACAGTTGAGAATGTGACTCAGTTGGTAGAGCAGTTGCCTAGCTCTGAGTTCATTTCCCAACACTGGCATGAACGTGGTGTGGTGATGCACACTTGCTTGTGATCCCAGCACTTAGGAAGTAGAGGCAAAAGGATCAGGAGTTCAGGGATAGCCTCAGTTACATAGTGACTCTGAGGCCAACCTGAGCTGCATGAGACCTTCTCTGAAATAAACAATAATGATGAATCAAACTTCATTGAGATTAAAGCATTTTCTGGGTCTGGAAAGATGGCTCAGCAGTTAAGAACACTGGTTGTTCTTGCAGAAGACCCGGGTTCGAATCCCAGCACCCACATAGCAGCTAACAACTGTCGGTAACTCTAGTTCCAGGGGAGCCGACAGCTTCTTCTGTCCTCCGCAGACACGGGTGCACTTACTTACATACAGGCAATACACACATACACATAAAAATAATAAATAAAATATGAAAAGGGGCCGGAGAGATGGCTCAGTGGTTAAGAACACTCACTGCTCTTGCAGAGGACCCGGGTTCAATTCCCAAGACCCACATGGGGGCTAAGAACTGTCCTTAACTCCAGTTCCAGGGGAATCCGAAGACTGACCTCCATGGCATTGCATGACACAGGTGCACTCACATACATGCAGGCAATGCACTCATACGCATAAAATAAAAATAATAAATAAAATATAAAAATAAATACATAAAATATTTAAGTAAAAAAACATAAATGTTGCTGGGCATGGTGGTGCACACCTTTACTCCCAGCACTCGGGAGGCAGAGGCAGACAGATCTCTGTGAGTTGTAGGACAGCCTGGTCTACATAGTGAGTTCCAGGACAGCTGGGGCTACAGGGAGACCCTGTCTCAAAAAGACCAAAAAAAAAAAAAAAAAAAAAAAAAAAACATAAAAGCCAGCAGCTGGCAAGGAAGAAATACAAACCATATACCCAACAAATGATGCATCAAATTATACAGAGCAGTCTCAGAACTAAATATTAAGGAGAAAACAAGTCTGGTGAGATGGTTCAGCTGGCCAAGCGCCTGCCGCAAGCCTGACAATCTGAGTTAGAGCCCCAGCATTCACAGTCAGTTTGAAGGAGACAACTGACTCCAGAGAGCTGCCCTCTGATCTCCACACACATGCCTTGGCATGTACACCCACTCTCCCACACACACAATAATACTAATGATGATGAATAAAATTTAATTAAGGTTAAAAGAAAGAATATGTAAAATCAAAACTAATGATAATACCAAAAGCTGACAAAGATGTAGAAAAACTGGGTCTCTCCTACATTGCTTGTGAGAATTATAAAATGAAAGAGCAGCTGGATGTGGTGGCGCACACCTTTAATCCCAGCCCTTGGGAGGCAGAGGCAGGCAGATCTCTTTAGTTTGAGGCTGGCCTGGTCTACATAGTGAGTTCCAGGACAGCTGGGGCTACAGGGAGATCCTGTCTCAAAAAGATCAAGAAATAAATAAATATAAAATGAAAAAGTAGCCATTCTGGAAATTTATTAAACCATAAATACACATTTTATCAACCAGTAATTGCATTCCTGGGCTTTTATTCTAGAGAGATAAAAGCTTACATCTACATTAAAAACTGTACACAACAGCAGTCTTATTTCAGATAGGCTCAAACTGGAAGCCACCAAAAACTGTGGTACATCCATGCAAAGGACTGCTATTCAGTTCTGAAGAGGAACGCTATATTGATAATATGACTTTCACGGATCTCAGTATGTTACACTGAAAGACTAATAATCATTTTCGAAAAGTAACAAAGTATAAGCACATCATACCAATACCATCTCTCCAGTCTGTGAATTGTAATAGTTTAAGAAGTAACCACTGAGAAATGAGCAAGAAACCCCCTGGACTGTTTTTGCAGCTTCCTGTGAATTTATAATTATTAAAAAGAAAAGTGGGACTGGAGAGATGGATTAACAGTTAAGAGCACTGGCTGCTCTTGCAGAGGGTTCAGATTCGGTTCCCAGTACCCACAATGTGGCTAACACTCATCTATAACCAGTTCCAGGGAATCCAATGCCCTCTTCTGGCCTCTGCAGGCATTGCACTGACTGGGGTGAATTTACATATATAGGCGATATACTCATACACATAAAATAAAAATAATAAAGTGATGAAAAGGGAAAAGACTCAAGATGAAGAGAGAGAAGACTCAAGAATACAATTTTTGTCTTGATAAACTGCAAAGACTGCACGGCCAATAGCTGAACCAAAGAAGCAGGTTTGGGGTAAAGGGACACCGGGAGAAAAGTGGGATTGGCAAGCTGGACCGCCAGTCCAGGCCAGGGGCTCAGAGCAGGAGAGTGATGAAATTCACCAGCGCACAGATGGTCTTTAATCTCGACTGGACGGTCTCACTAAGGGCGTGGAGTAGTTAGAGAAGGGGATTTGTGCAGAAGGAAGAATGAGTGAAGAACACAGAAACCCAGCAAAAAAAGAAGTGGGAGGGGGAGAGGCAGCTGACTCGGTGGTGTCTCCTCTTTAAGGCAGGGAGGGACTGTCTACCAGCCTTGGTGCAAGGTTCCTGGGAGGGGGCGGTAAAGGGTGACTTGGAGGTTGGACTAGCAGTTGGGGGATTGTCACCATATGAAAGCAGACCTTTCTCTTCACCCCAGGAACATTCCATCAAGGTCCTGGAACTGATCTCTACCATCTGGGACACAGAGCTGCACGTTGCTGGCCTTAGACTCCTCAACAACCTCCCACTTCCTGATTATGTGCACCCCCAGCTGCGGCGAGTAATGCCTGCCTTGTTGGAGATCATGCAGTCAGACTACATCCTGGCTCAGGTGCCTGCCCCTCATGGCCACAGTTCTGTCCCTCCCCCCACCAGCCCTAGCACCTAGAGGAAGAGTGAATGGGTCATGTAGTGAGACCCAGGCCCACCTACCCTCTGTGGTTTCCTCTGTCCCTTACTCAGGTCCAAGCTTTGCGTCTGCTGAGTTACCTGGCACAGAAGAATGACCTTCTCTATGACATTTTCAACTGCCAGGTGAGAAGCAAAGAGAAAGAGGGACTGATGGGGCGACTCAGGTGTATCAGGGAGAGAAGAATTATCCTCTGGACAGATTGCCTCTTGATGAATTGTCTTCATATTCTTCCTGCCTCTGCGTTAGATTCTACTGGGGCCAGCACCAGATGAAATTGTGGCCCCAGTAATTGATTGAGAACCTGTTTTATTAGAAATAGTATAGTCACTTTGAATGGGCTTTTGAACTCCGAGAGGTAGGCACACGAGAACCAAAATGGTTAACACAGGGATTTCAATATAGAGGAAAATATCTGATGAAAATCATTAGGGGGAAGCCCTCATGGCAGTGCACACCTTTAACCCCAGCACTCGGGACACAGGGGCAGGCGGATCTCTATGTGTTCAAGGCTAGTCTGGGCTACATATTGAGTTCCAGGCTAGCCAGGGCTACATAGTGAGTCCCTCTCTCAAAAAACAAAGTCATTGGTGCTGCAGAGGTGGTTCAGGGATTAAGAGCATTGCTGTTCTTCCAGAGGACCTGGGTCCAACTCCCAGCACCCTCATGGTGTCTCTGTCACCCTCTTCCAGATTTCTCGGACACTATACACATACCATTATACATACAGGCATTCAAAAAACAAAACAAAAACTTTTGTACAAATAAAAATAAACTATTAAAACAAGTCATTAGAAGGATGATATTAACCCTAAACTTGTATGCACCAAATAACATCTCAGAATATATGGCAAGTTGTTTTTAACATTGATTTATTTGTGTGTATGTGTGATGTATGTGTGTAGGCATGGATGTGCCACGTGTGTAGAGGTCAGAGGACGACTTTATGGGGTCAGTTCTCTCCTTCCACCTTTACATATGTTCTGGGGATTGAACTCAGGTTGTCTGACTTGCACATTAAATGTTTTTACTTATTGAGGCTGCTCATCCTGCCACATTTGTAAGATTTTAACAAATCCTTCCATCATTAGTAGATTTTTAAAAATCTTAGTGGGATTGGAGTGATGGCTCAACAGTTAAGAGTACTGACTACAGCCGTGGTGGCACATGCCCTTAGTCCTAGCACTTGGGAGGCAGAGGCAGGGTGGAGCTCTGTGAGATCAAGGCTAGCCTGGTCTACCTAGTGAGTTCCAGGTCAGCTGGGGCTACAGTGAGACCTTGTCACAAACAAAACAAAACTCTGAAATTTAGAAGAGTATACTTGACACACTTAATACAAATAAACTTAAGTCATTGGACACACCTACAACAGTCTACAACTGTTAAGTGTACATTTTTTTTTTTTGAGACAGGGTCTCTCTGTAGCCCTTGGATGTTCTGGAACTTACTATGTAGACCAGGCTGGCCTTGAACTCACAGAGATTCACCTGCCTCTGCCTCCCAAGTGCTGGGATTAAAGGCGTGCGCCACCACGCCCGGGTAAGTGTACATTCGTCTCAAGAACACACAAAATATGTATAAAAATCAACTAGAAACTAGGTCTTTATTTTAAAGGTTTATATTTTGTGTGTGTGTATATATCTGTGTATGGGTATGTGCATGTGAGTTCAGAGACCAGAAGAGGGTGTCAGATCTCCTGGAGCTGGAGTTATAGGCAGTCATGAACCACCCAAAGTGGGTGCTGAGAACCAAACTCAGGTCCTCTGCAAGAGCAGCCAGTGCTCTTCACCGCCGAGCCATCTCTCAAGTCCCAAAGTTTTAAGCCTTAGTGTGGGGCTGGAGAGATGATTCAGCGGTGAAGAGCACTGGCTGCTCTTGCAGAGGACCTGGTTTGGTTCCCTGAATCAACATGGAAGTTAACAATCAGTTCCAGGGGATCTGTCAACCCTCTTCTGGCCTCCCACTGTCTCAACAGTGGGAGACCAGAGAAGGAGGACTTTTAGAGCTGGCCTGGGGTTCCATCCTCATTCTCTGACCACTCCCACATCTCAGGTGCACGCCAACTTCCTGAACCTGTTCCAGACCTCCCAGCCAGGGAGTCTGTTGTTCGAGGTCCTGGTGTTTGCAGAGCGGCTGAGTGAGGGCCGGAATGCATCCCACTACGGAGCTGTGAAATGGCATTACAATGAACAGTCCTTGCATGAAGCCCTCTTTGGGGATGAGTCCAGACTGGCTGACCGGCTGCTGTCCCTGGTCATTCACCCCGAAGAGGAGGTCCAGATCCAGGCCTGCAAGGTCATCGTCAGCTTACAGTGCCCCCAGGACTTGGCATCCCGACCCTCTGCCTGCCATCCCAGTCATTCCTACTTTAAAAGCGGGCAGTAAAGTTAAGGAGAGCCAATAAATGCATATGGGAGGGAAGCTTGAGGCTTCAAACACCTGTGTGTCTGTGACCTTCCGGGACTAGGTGGAGGTGTCCTGTGGCACATGGGTGATCTTCCCTCAAACACACCACTTTTGTGTTTGAGAAATGGAGTCTCTCCTGCTGCTGCCTTTCAAGTCTGTTTTTTTGTGCATGTTTGTGGTGTGCATATGTGTATACAAATTTGATGTATGTGAGCACACGTGAGTTGTGTGCATGTATATGTATGCTCCTCCTCACATGAGAGTCATCCTCCATTTCCCTCCCATCTTATTAACTGAGGCAGAATATCTCAATCTCACCCAGAGCTCACCCGCGTGGCTAGCTTCCCGCCAGCTCTAGGGATCCC